TCGTAATCGTGGTGTTTGCTAGGTTTAGGGTCTTTTTGGCTCATTAGAATAAAGATAAGTGCTATGACTGCTAAGGCTACAAGGATTAATTGCTGATTGTCGCCGCTTTGACTTGGATTTCGAGAGTAAGGAGTATTATTGGGTATACTACCAGGACTATTTCCGTCTCCATCAGGGAGGTTTCCGAAGGGATTATTAGGGTCAGAGTTAGGATTTCTTCTGTTTCCGCCGGAGCCGCCACCATTTCCTGAACCACCACCTTTATTACTTCTTTCAATAGCTTGTCTCATTCTCTCAATTAATTTAGAAACATGTTTGCTTGGGTCAATATGCTTAAAGCGGTTTGTAAGTCGGTTTCTTTCTTCATATTTTGCTTGAAGTAATTTACCATCTTCTTCAATTTCTTCTAAGATTGCTAATTTTTCTTGCGGACTAAGGTTCGGATCTAAAGCTTTCTTTTTCTTTTCCTCCATACCGGCTTCAATTTTTCTTATTTCGGCAGTTAATTCTTTGATTTCTTCAGCTCAATCGTAATTAGTATTCTCAATTATCCGTTTGGCATCATTTAACTCCTTTCTTCCACTCTCCATTTCCTTTTCTACTAAACTATTGTTAGCTTCATCGGCTCAGATAATACAAATTCCAAACATGGAGCTAGAATAGCCAGTGCGTGGTCTTAAACCGTTAATGGCTTCATCCGCTTTCATTAATAAGGTAGCTTTTTTGGAATCAAATTCTCCTTTATTAGTGCATTTGGTTAGTTCATCGTGAATGGTTTTACCATTTAAGCTTTCTACTTTATTTAGTCCGCTAGCTAGGGTTTGACAGTCTTCACTTAAATTATGAGAGCCTCCTCAATTACATCTACCACCTTCTCAATAGCCAGCATCGTTAGCACAATCGGCTCTTCCTTTACGAGTGATTCCGACTAGTTTAAAGGTATTTTCTAAGTCTTGGGCGTTTCTTACCATGGTTTTTCTCCAATTAGTTTTAATTTAGTTAAGTTTTTCATATTCATTTAATTCTTTTCTTTACAAGTAAGCAAGCGGGCAAGGGTAAAAAGGCAAAAAGGCAAAATAAAAGCAAGTTAAAAGGTTTTTAGGCTAAGGATTATAAGTAATTTTTTTATCTTTTCTTCCTTGGCGATAGCAATCCATTAAACCGATTACGT